AACCCTGCTTGCTCGCATGGCTGTCACCTTTTCCATAAACGTTAAAAACTACTTAACAACTTTTTGAAAAAGCTGCTATTGTAGGTCGAATCACTCTATCGCTCAAGAATAACAGTAAGAAGTGAAAGAGTAATTTGAAATTAGTTTGAAGAAGAAAAAAGAAATTTGAGTTTCTGGAAGTGGAAAATGAGAAGTCAGCACCGTATTTAGGTTGCTAATAATTTAGAGAGACAAGGAAGCAAGATTCTAGGAGAGCGCAGGGAAAAAATCTATGCTTGTAGAGGATCTTATTGAGATTTCGGATCGTGGTGCGGGTTTGTGCTGAAAGCCGTGTATGTAGATAGGCCCATTTTTCGGGAGAACAAAGGTGTAAAAAAGAGAAATATATCGTGTCTTTGGTTGCAGCCTTCCTTTGCGTAATTCCCATTCGTTCATAGGCTTCTACATACGTCGATGTATTACGACTAGATATGAAGTCTACTGAAAAGGTCTTCTTGAAGAAATTTGTTCAGAAAGGCATTTTTGGGGGGAATGAAGAGCTCCTAGGAATTTACAACAGAAGCAGTTCATAAGTGAAGACAAATTGACAAAAAGGGAGCTAAAGGTATCAGTGGGCGGAATTCTGTAAAATGAACACATGACCATATAGGGATTTCAATTCTTGTCAATCCGATTATTGTCTGTTTCGAATGAAGACATCGTTTAAATAGCAAGAATTGTTTTTTAGCGAGATCCTGAGCTCGCTCGTGCACATCGTGAGTTGGAAAAGCACTCCATCTACTCAAGAGGACGTTTCGGTGGTTGGAAATACGAGGTGTCAAATCAGGTGGGCTATCCAGAACAGTTTTGCACTACTTTTAGAACAGCTCCACAACTTTTCTTCAAAAGCTTTGTGGTTACAAGAAGAAAGTCGATTTGCTTGTCATCATATCTGCGGTAACCTATAATTGGTATCATCTATCAAAATTTCCAGGATCACTGCTTCATCCAGGGCAAAGAATTCATTGACCGTGTGGTACTGAACGAGCCTGAGAAGTTGTACAAGACTGGTCTTGCTGAGAGGCAAGGATAAGACGACTGTCTAAGCATATACATACTGATGAGTGCTAGACGCTGGCATTTCTGGCGGTGCCTTAACAGAATTCTATTTCANAAAGTGACCGGTTTCTATGTCTAGTAATTATGTGCAAATTATAAATATTGTTATGATAAACTGTGATTTACGGGAGACTATTCAATCAATTGTCAGTCCGTGGAGAAAATGGATATTTCTCACCCTTGAATAGGATGCATTCAATCGAGGCTAAACCCATGACTACAACAGAGAGCTCGAAGCATCCACAAAAAATTGCTCACAGAAATATATGTTGGTTCACGCCACAACAACTTATATCGACTGAACATAAACCGAGTAATATTGCCTACTGAGTGGAAGATGGGTCACCAGCAAGAGATAAATACGAAATAGAAACATAAAATAGCAGCACAGAGAATATTGAAGTTTGCTAGAATGGAGCATCTTGGCCTTCTTTTCTGGTCGAAAAATTTGGTACCAGACTTTTGAGTTGTAGGCAGCCATTGCCATCACGGACGGTACCTCCTACCGACTCAGCTGTAGACAGATATGCTGAGGCCAGAGCCCCCTTTAGGAAAAACGCTTATCAAAACACCGACAAATCTATGAGTTGGTTCTATGAAGGGAGACTGTGTACTTCCGTCAGACAAATTTTTTAATAGACTCGTAGATGCTCCTCTGACTGCAT